CGACGAACGCATTCTACGGACTCAACATCCTCTTCATATGATGGACGCAGTCACGCCTACTCCATCTCCGGGACATGGCGTTTCTACGTTTCGGCTGCCCGCCCCCACAAGATATCGTGTAGGCCACATCGCATTTTGAAAGCTACCACTTCTGACTCGATCGAAATGCGTGCTCATCCCGTAAAAGATTGACTAATTCTGAGAGCATCATCCTTCCCCCCCCCTGATGAAAGATGACCTGAGTCAATATCCTAACTAAGCCCTAAAGTGGCCACGCCTTCATTCTCGATCAGCATACGAATAAACGGAATTTGATTTTCGTTCTTGTTTAGTTGAGGAAATCCGTGCGTGATTTTGCTGACAAGGAATTAGCTCCGCATGCGCAGACGATCGATCAAACCAATGAGTTCAAAGAGTTACGGCCGTTCTGGAAGAAGCTTCGGAGAAGCACGGATTGCTGGGTATCACTGCACCAGGTGGGTCTGAATCCTTTATCTCGTTTTTTTTCATTATTTTGGCGTTTTTTTGTATGCCATGAGGGGCTCTTTCGTAATGCTACGAGGTGCACTGATTTGAATCGCGAGTGGGTTTGATGTGAAGATAGTTGATATAGTCGAAGGCAGCAAACCATTACACCTTTTTCACAGTCCTACCTCTTCTCTTTACTGAACGAGGAGTACGGACTAAAGAAGAAGGTACTGTGGTTGGGTGTCTCCGCCCACACCATCAGCGTGGACCGTACCTTTGAAACCAAAATGCATCCTAGCGATGATTCCATACAAAACACCACTCAACTCGGGGTTGGAGACATATGAACGCCTTCAAATGTCCCCCTCTAAGTTTTCTTTGGCCCAACCTCTTCTTGAGTCGAGGTTTTTTGCCGGTTCCTACGGTACCACATGTTCTCCTATGGAATGTCACATGTCATGGAATGCCACAATCATATGTTTTAAGCTCTTTTTCAGCCGAGTATGGCGGTTCCCATCAGAACTATTTCTCGCATGTGCTTGTTATGGAAGAACTGTCACGGGCGAGTGGCTCCATAGCACTCTCCTATGGTGCCCATTCGAATCTTTGTGTGAATCAGATCGTCCGAAATGCCAGTCAGAAGCAAAAGGAAAAGTACTTGCCGAAGGTGGGTGGCAATTTATTACTATATGATTGACCTAAGCCGCTATGTTCCATTTCGTGAAACTGAATATGCCTTTTTAAGAGAACCTTAGTGATGTTCGGCTTGGAGGGGGCTTTCTTGCTTGTTCCTTTTGTGGGCTCGTTAACCAACAGGTCTCACTTAGGTTAGACTTGTGAACTCCTGTGGAGCTGGTTCGAGTGAGAGTGCGCTATTTTGATCACAGAAATAACCACGTTTTCACAAGATGACCTGTTTTATCTTAACTGAGTACCATCCGGTGTCCCCACCAAGCCGAACTGTGCGTGGGTTCCCAACGTTGTATGGTTCATCGAAGCAGTCAGTTTCAGCTGATCAGTGGCGAATATGTGGGAGCGTTGGCGATGTCCGAAGCGAATGCTGGATCAGATGTGGTCAGCATGCGATTGAAAGCAGAGAAACACGGTGATAAGTTCGGTATCATACAGTACCATTCTACAGTATCTTATGCGCTCGATATCTGCAGGGGTACTAATTACTCCATTGTAACGGTATGTGTGTTAAATGAACAAAGTTCTGGATTATAACAAATGGTCGGCTGATGCCGATGTTCTTGTCGTCTATGCGAAGACTGACCCAGCTTTGCATCAGCATGGAATCACCGCTTTTCTTAGTAGAAAAGGTCCGAGCCATTCGACAGCTCTGTCTTTCTTCAGCTGTACAAAAAAGATTTTGCAGCAACTTTCATCTTTATTTGGGTTCTTTTTCAGGGATTCAAAGGATTCCACACGTCACCGAAACTCAATAAAATGGGCATGCGAGGTTCAAACACCTGTGAATTGGTCTTCGAGGACTGTGAAGTACCAGGCAAGTGAATCTTGAGAAGATAATCCGTAGGAGGGACAACCATTCGGCGTGCTGATCAGCGCTTTTTTTGATCGCGCCATGCATGCTACTTCCATTTTTTTTTGTTTAAAGCGATTTCCGGTTAGCATTTTCTTATATAATGACTTACGGGATGAGAGGTAGAGCATGGCACTTCACGGCAATGAGGAAAACTGGTCATACTGCACCACCGCCTTCCTTACTCCCCTCCCAATAGCCGATTGGAATACGTTACCCTTCAACCTGGAAGTTCAGTCTCACTACCTCTCACCTGTGGTTTTCAACGAAAAATTCGGGCGCAGTTTGGCCTGGTGGTGGCCTCTAATGGTGCTTGGCGAACCCACTTCAGGCCACCTTGTGAATACCTCTAAACTTCTATAACTGATGCGGCTCACTTATGCCATGTCACAGCTTCACTGAGTTCTCAGGTCTTACCAAAATAAAGATAAAAAGGATAAAGTCTTCGCCGTTGATCAATCCCTTTGTGGGATGCGGCACGCATTCTACTTCCATTCAGAATCGTAGTGGCTTATTGAATGCGATGTGGCCTATACAATGACTTGCGGTGGCCAGCCGATGTACAAGTCAGTGTTTTATCCTCCCAGACGAATCTGGTACCAATTTACCGTCCCCGGAGGGTAGAAGGCTTGGTTGGCCTGGGCGGGAGTCGACCCGGGATTTGAACCCGGCGCCGCGCGAGTGGTAAGCCGGTTCAAATCTCGTCGACTCGCGCCCAGGCCAACCAAGCCTTATACGTGGTGAATATTCGCGTCTGTCTTACCAAAATATAACCTGTTAATTGAAGTGAGCCAGCAAAAGGAACAAGTGGATGTGCAAAATGCCCCTCCCATGCCGAACGGTGCCACAGTTCGTCCAACGGGAAAGGGCACATCCCCTATTTTTTCCCGAAATATCCTTTCTCGTTGATGTGATGTCATCCCCAACAGGCTAAATACACTTGTGCAGTATATTTTACGCATTTCCTTTATTGTTGAAGGCCCCTTCTCCAATATCCCAAATGAGTCTCCAATTCGCAGGACGATCCCAAAGGGATGAACGTGTTGGTGGCTTGGATGGGACCCGATGTTGGACTTCACCCATCCATCGTGAGGTGGTACGGAGGACCGCTTGCCCCTGCGCCATTGCCACCCAAGAATCGATTTCTTATACGACAACATTTCTTTGAACATTCATCTCTATTTCAGAGGAAAATGTTATGGTGGTGTTGGAAAAGGACAAAGTTTACGCCCCCTTTACTGATGACTGGACTCGATCTCGAACGATTGGTACTTTCCGGCGGTCCGCTAGGGTACGTCAGTGCAGTTTGAGCTCTCATTTGCTTTTCAGAGCTGAGATGTTGTTATATATTGCATTTCGTAGGTGAAGTTGGCCGCAGTTTGGCTTGGGAGAGGGGGGGGGGCGCTACTTCCCATCGACGTGTCGGTACATCAGGAAGAGACTCGTGGAATTTTGTGGACCCATGAAGTGATACCATAGAATTTCGGAGGAGGGACTGCTTGTCAACTCTTGCAGAGAAATACCTGTCAATTCTTGTAAAGTAACGAGCACGACGATGACTTTGTAGCGAAGCCGCAAAATGCTCCCCCAAGCCAATTGCAATGTGAAATTCATTACAAAACTACGTTTATTCTACAGACTTATGCAAGCGCCGCATTGACGTCGCCTTTCCAAATGCTACTCATCGAGAAGGCCCATTCGGCACTCCAATTGCACGTCCAGGTGGTAAAACGATGAATATATTAGGTTGGTCGAAAAGTCCTGCGACACTTTGACCAATTTTTCAGGCTAAATTTTCAGTCACTAAAAGACATCTCCAATCTACAAGGTAATCACCACTAAGGACTAGGACTAGTGCCCTTCTTTTGCACAGCTTCTCATTTCCATTCTTATAGAACTACGGCAACTATGATAAGAAGAAGAGGTGGACCTCATTTTTGAGTAGACGTCGATTTTCGGAATTTTGCCTTCTTAAGGATGCGGTAGGGATCAAAAAAGGTAGTAGTTAGAGACTGCTAACTTTGATGAATAAGCTGGGTATGGTCGCATTCTCAGATCAAGATCCACGATCTTTTGGTGTGGCCTGATCCTAACATGCGGTCTTCGCATTGCCGAGCGGTAGAGAAAAATTGAGTATTTTGAAGAATTCAAGCGCGACGTCATCCATGCTGTGATGGGAGTGGACTGTAAAAAAAAAAAAAATAAATAAAAATCTCCTTACGTTATGCTAGTATCCAGAGATACCGCTTTGAAGTCCCACCAATAACCTACTGAAATCTTTATCCCATGCACATCTGCTTTTGGCTGTGCAATCTACTTTTCTCTCTGAGAGATCCTGCGAGGAACATGTGCAAGATGTACGCAAGGACCCCACCACTCTCTACCAACCACAAGATCTCACAAATGTTCCTCCAGTGTGTACAAGGAAAAAAACTCAGTCACGGTCATTCGGTATGACTTGTCAGAGGGGTTCAACTCATGAGGCATCCTTCATAAAAATTTTTTCCGATAACCGAGACTGCGGAGAAGCATGGCGATTGTCAGTTAGGTGGAGCCCAGAGAGGTTGCCAACTTACTGGTGGTTACGTTCGGCTGCGCCTCAAGAAGCTTGAGTAAAGGGCCGTCATTCTGTGCTGGTGGCCGACCTATACATTTGCCTACTTCCGAGTTGAATAAGTCCAGCCCGGAAGCGCTGCTGCAAAAGGAACTCTCTGCTATGGCAAGCGATATCCTTCCTCAAGACAACGTAAGTGTTAGCTTCCTCGACTATGGCGGAGTTGCCCTACAGGAACTCATAATATGGGATAGGTCGAGAAGTACCTCAATCTCTGAGGTATTTTTAAGCTTTGAAAACTTCCACGGAGCCATGATATACCCATTTTCAGAAACCTCAGGAGACAGTCTCCACTAATCAGAGATAAAAACATTCGAAATGATTTTTGGTCTTTTTCTAGAATAGTTCAAACAAAGTGTCGCAGGACTTTTTCGACAAACCTAATATCGACCGCTGAGAAATAAAAATATCGGAAAATTGATTGTTCCAGCTAATGCAAGGAAAGATGGCTGACATGTACACGACCTTAAACGCTTGTCGAGCCTACTTGTATGCAGTGGCCAAAGCTGCTGACAATGGACATGTCTCCAGTAAGGTACGTATCAGGGTTTACACACCTGTGATGGACTCGGACCAGAATCCCCAGCCAGGAGGGTCGTATCTGGTCACTGAAGGAGGGGGAATAGTAGAAATCTCTGGGGAAACATGTTTTTTATTGTTGACTTTTTCCAGATTCCAGTTGCGATACCCTCCCCAACTTGAACGTCCCCCTTTTTCCTTCCCCCCCCCCCCCCCTCCCCAGGTTAATGGCACTTTTTCGGGGAATAGTGGGGGGAAGAGCATTTCCGGAAAAAGAAAAAAAGCCGGAAAAAATAGGAGTTTGTGAAGATTCAAGAAGATAGTAGGTAGAGCAGGGGAGGGGTGGAAAGGGTGTCGTACCAGAGACCTCGGTGGGGGAACGTATGGTGCAGAAATTTTCTCCAACAGCCGACGTGCCCTCACTCGGACATATTCTGACACAAGCTGCTGTAGGTTACGGTAGTTTTTTGAAGTTCTTCCCGAGGATTAAGAATTTTCTCCAATATTTACAATTGTTTAGGATACCTTGTATCCCCTGCTTCACGCCCCATGTTTTTTACTGCTTTCACTAAATTACCGGCACTAATTACCCCTTATTGCCACTTTTCAAAATTACTTCAAATTTGCTGCCAGGTTTTGATCGAAATTTCCTACCGTGGGTGGCGATCTAAAGCGAATTTTGTCCCCTGGGTTAGTTTAACCATTTGGACACCATTTTCCGTTCGCTCTGTCTGCACCCCCCCCCCCTGGCGCGGTCGTCAAAACACTATGGAACATTATTTACTGGAAACTTGTCCTAAAATTACTTTAGCTCCTTACCATGCCTCTGTGCCCCTTCCCCTAACCAAGGCTAAGGTTTAGAGTGTAGACCGTCGCTGAGGGATAGCCTCGCAGAGAAGTCATACTTTCTCTGAGCCCAATCCTTGGATAGGGTGAGTGGGGCAGAGGCTTTGCAGACTACACCCCCTCCCCCAAATGCTTTAGCGTCTCCATTTTTTCAGTTATATTATCAAAATATTTTAGGACTGCGCAGGAGTTATCCTCTATCTTGCCGAGAAATGTACGCAAGTGTGCTTGGATGCTGTCCAA